AATAAAGGACTAGAGGAAAGACCTCTCTTAAAAAAAAAAAAAAAAAAAAAAAAAAATCAAAAAAAAAATTAATATAATAGGAGTGCCATTAGAAAAAAGTATATGAGCATCAAGCAAAAGAAGCTGCAACCAATATAACAGCCTATTTGCCAATATATCAGAACACAATATGTCAAAAAAAACAAATAAAAAGCATATTAAGTTTATTAAATAGTTACTAAAAAACAATGAATATGTTAAAGACATTTAAGAAGTTTTTAAAAAAAAGAACTTATAGATAGAAGTAAACTTTAATTATGAAAATAGCAAAAGCAAAACAATACAAAAAATTAGCAGAAAAAAAAGTAACTAATACAAAATAATACTAGAAAAAAAGAAAAAAAACAAAAAAATATATATATATAAAACTTAACAAGAAAGGTTAACAAAAAAGAAGCAATGTATTAAAAATAAAAACAAAACAAAAATAATAAAGCAAAGGTATATGAAAACTAATATAAAATAGATGAAAAATATAAAAATAAAAATTACTTAATAATATAGAATCTATTAACAGATATAATCAAAAAAAAGCTAGAATATATCTGTAGAAGATTTAAGAAAGCTTATATAATAAAAATTAAAAAATCTAAATACAAAACTTTAGCAGTAGTGTAGATAAAAAAATAAATAAAAGAAATATTCTATAGGCTATACCAGTTAATAATAACAAACTTATATAAGTAATAATAAGAAAAAAAGATCATGAAGCAAGATAAAGCCAGAGGAAATATGCAGCAAAGTTGATAAAAAATCTTAAAAGTCTTATTCTTATAAAGGTTAAGAAATAAATTATTAAATTAAAAAACTCTCTCTCTCTATCTACATTCAATAATAAAGAAAAAAATAAACAAAAAACTATTAAACCTTTATTGAAAAAATTTACTAAAAACAACACAAAGGCTAAAACTCTTGTGCCTAGGAAAAAAAAACAAGCTTGTTTAATTATATTTAGTTCAGTGTCAACAAATTACAAAAATAAAAAAACCAAAATCACAAGCCTTAAAAAAAAGTCTAGTCTTGGCTCTAATAATATAAACAAAAAAATAAAAAAAAAGAAAACAACAAGTCTGATAGTCTTATTACTGAGAAAAAACAGAAAAAAGAAAATATGCCAAAGATTACTATAGAAACTTCTAAAGGCCAAAAAAGTAAAACAGCAGAACTTGAAGAAGAAAACTTGTCTTCAGTCACTTTTTTGAGCAATAAAGATCAAATTTCAGATGAACAAACAAAACAAACAACATGTAAAAAGCCTATATCCAATTATGTAAACAACCAATCAGAAGCCTAGAATAAACAAACCAAACTGAAACAGTGGTCTGATCTTTTCTCAAAATTGGAAAGAGGAAAAGCCACATACTCTATCTATTCTCTACAAAAAAGAATTGTCACTAAAAATGAAAATGTGCTAATCTTTGAATTATTTAGTTTAGAAAACATTTTAACTACAAGAATCATAGAAGCATTAGAACAAGAAATGTGAGAAGATCTGGTTGCAGCCTGGCCAGTAATTAACAAAAACAAAAGAACCCATTTAGAGGTTATGTTTTCAGATGAAAACAAACAGCAGCAATATGTAGCTGAAGGTGTTAGTATCTTTAAACAGACCTTACAAGAGTATATTTCTATAAACATCAGATGCAACTTCCTATTAGTCAGAATTTGAAATGCACTAATGGAAAAAAAGGAATTTATTTCAGAGCAGATTAAAGAAGCATTCCAAAATATTGGCATAATCTTATCGATTAAACCACTGATCTACAAAGGAACCTCTATAATATCAGACCAGTAGGTTATAATCTTTGAAACAACAGATGACCCAGATTTGACAAGTCAACTTTCTAGATTTACACATATTTGGGACCACAGAGTCACTACTAACTAGAGAAAGGCCCCAAAGATATGCTTCTTCTGTGACAAAGCAGGTTATATAAAAAAAGACTGCCCAGACTACAAATACTTAGTTGAGGCTAAAAACCTATACAAACTGTGAAAAGAACAAAAGAAACAAGAAAAAATTCAGCTCCAACAACACATAGAGGAACCTTTTGAATTCAGTTCAGAAAATCCCTATATAAACAAGAAACTAAAAAACAAAAATACTATGAACAACTCTATGGAAAAACTTAAAACAATGAACACAGAAGATGATAACATTGTAATGCAAAACAAAATAACATCAGACACAGAGATGTCAACAAGCAACAATGAACAAGAAAGTCAATCAGAACATTAAATAGAATCAACTGAGAACAAGCCAAATATGGAACATGAAAATATACCAGTGGACTCACTTGCAAGTTTGTACAACAATATATGGGCAAACAATACTGATCCTACAGATAAAGAGAATGAACAAGATTTTACAGTAGTTTCCAAAAAAAAGCATAGAAATAAAAGCAGAATTGCAACCCCAAAAGTGGGAAGAACTACAGTCCTAAAAATATCAGCTTCCTATACAAAAGCCAGAGAACTGCAATAGGCATAACTTCAACCTCTATTTTTTTAAATTATTTTTTAATGGTTAAAAAAATCAAAATTGTATCACTAAACGTCAAAGAACTAAACAACAAAGAAAAAGCATACAAAAAACTTACACTGTTAAAATTATACCACTTGAACATAATTATGATCCAGGAAACTAATTTAGAAAATATTCATACAAAAAACTTTTTAAAACAAATATGGGGGTTTGACTCTTACTGGACCTTCAAAACAGCAATACTTTTGGGAAATCATGATATAAAACTGGAAAATATTAGAGAATCCTATCATAGATGAGTAATATCAGCAAACCTCATATACAAACAATACTCTTTTCAATTAAATAACATATATGCTTCTCCAAACATGGAGGACAGAGTATGCTTTTTTAATAATTGGAACCTGCAACTTAATGAAGAACACATTAACATAGTAGCAAATGACTTTAACACAAATCTGAATCTACAAAAAAATCATATTAGCCATGCATCAATTGCTAATAATCCTTCGAGAAAATTACTAAAAGAAATTACTTTAGATCTAATTGATATAGCATTACTATTAAACAATCAGAAACCTTTTTTTACTTATCATCAAAACACAAAAGGAAATCATAGTATGGTTACAAGGCTTGATTACATCTTTATTGATGCTAATTATAACCAATACTGTAAATATACTACCATACAGTTTGGCAACTCTGATCACCTAATAATAAAATATGAACTAAACTTCACATCTGAGTCACCTAGAGCCAAACAATAGAGATTTAACAGAAATTGCTGGAATAATAAACAATTAAAAACAAAAGTAATTGAGAAGATAAAAAGCTTTGCAGACTTCTCAAAATAGGATTTATCTAAATGCAGAATATAATTGATAATTAGAGCCTTTCAGCCTCCTTCTGTATCAGAGAAGAAGATACAAAAGCTCCAAAAAGAACTAACTAAACTAAATAACAAATTGGCTAAGGAAGAAAGCTCAGAGTATCTTCTTAAAGCAAAAGAAAGCCTTAGCATACAACTTTAGAATGAGCTTCATACTCTTTTTAAGAAATGGCAACTTAGATCCAATACTAAATAAATAGAAGAAGATGAAAAATCAACAAAATTTTTCTTCACACAATACAAAATTAAAAATATATCATTAGCAAAAAATAAAATTTCTCCACCAAACAACTTCAAACTAGACAATATTAACAGAACAGTTCAATATATAAGAAATACTTACTAAGATATATACAGAACTGAGGAAATTAGTCAAGATGAGGCTGATTTTTTCATCCAAAATCTTACTCTTATTACAATAACACAAAACATGTTACTTAAAAGACATATTACAGAAGATGAAGTCAAAAGTGTACTAATTTCTTTTTCTAACAACAAGGCTCTAGGTTCAGATGGCCTTAGTTATGAGTTCTATAAAGATATTCAAGAAAAGGTTATTTCTGCACTTACAGGTCTTTTTAACTACTGTCTGGAAACAGGCACTATCTCTAAATCATGGTTCAAAAGCATAATCACACTTATTTCTAAAAAAGCAGAGAACTTAAGTGATGTTAATAACTGGAGGCCTATTTTACTAACTAATAGTGATGCCAAAATTTTTATAAAAATCTTGACTAATAGAGTTAATGAAATTTGTAGCTCAATTATTGGTCTATTACAACAAGCATTTATAAAAAGACAATCAATAGTAGATACAGCTTTAGATATAATTACTACTCTGAGGAACCAAGAGAACCAATCTCTCTCATACTGGCTCATATTACTAAATCAACAAAAGGCATTTGATAGAATGAGTCACAAGTTTATTATACAAGTACTAGAAAAAATGAACTTTAATAACAGCTTTATCAAAATTGTAAATACACTTTTTAGCTTACAGGTAGCACATATCGCAGATTCAGAAAGATTGTCTGAGTCTATAAGGGTAGAAAGAAGAGTATAGCAAGAGAACTCACTATTATTTTTACTATATGTTCTTGCTTTTAACTCTTTAATTCTTAAACTTCAAGAAGAGATTCAAGGAATTAAGCTTAGAAATTAATCTTTCAAGATGGTAGCTTATGTGAATAACTTAACTATTAGAATTGGATCATCTACAAACTGGAGTAAAGTTTTAATACTACTTGAAAAGTACAAAAAGGCAACTAATGCCAAGATAAATCAAGACAAATCTATTATAATTCCTCTTACAAGCATGGCGTATAATGAGAAACTACTCAATCAACAAAATTTTAAAATAGCCAGCAATGATAATTCACTTAGAATTCTAGAATATGAAGTTGACTCAAGAGGCAACCTCAAAAAATAATTATAAGAAGAACTAACAGATAGTATTAAGCACAAGATTGAAAATCTTAAACTGAGAAATCTCTCCTTTAAGAGAAAGATTCTAATTGCCAAAGCACTATTAATTTCTAAAATCTGATACTTGGCATATTTGCTTCCTCTAAGCAGAAAGCAGCTTGACAAAATTAATGTTCTTATTTCAGAATAGATTAAGAACAAGTTAAAAATGTTATCTAAATACTTAACATTTCAGTTAAATCTTGAGAAAGAAAAGTTGGCAGCTCTGGTCCTTAAGAATATTTTAGACTCTAGGCACATCTTCATTTGGATTAAATTGCTAACATCCAATAACCTTTGGGCAGAGCATGAAAAAATTGCAATCTCCTAACAGTTGCAAAATAAAAGAAAACAACAATTTTAGAAGCACTGAATCAAAGTACAATAAAACTAAAGGGTTGGCTAGATGCTTGGAAGCTTTATCTAACAGCTTAGAAGAGACTAGAAGGCAAAGTTATCACAAACAACAACTGGCCATAGTTATTATCAAAGCTAGAAATATTGAATAAGTCAGGAAATCAATTCTCAGTCAAGAAAGCAACAGAGTTTTTAAGAATATGATCAATAAAGCCAACAGCCTCTCAATCACCATTAGGAGTACAAGAATACTCAATAGACTACTTCAACTGGTTATTTACTAAAGGAATTCAAAATAAGAAAAAAGATATATTTTGGAGGTTGCAAAACAGAGCCCTTTCACTTGGCTATTAGTTGGTACATATTAATCCAAATATAAATAAAAGCTGTCCTAACTGTAAGAATAAGAAACAAACTATAGAACACTTTGCTCTAGACTGTAGAATTAGTAAAATTATATGGACCTATGCTACAAGCTTCTAAATGTTTCATTAGAAGAAGCCCCTCCTACTATAATAGAAGAAATTTTTACTATGTCTAATATCTCAAATACACAGCTATGAAAAACAGCCTCATGGTTACACTTAACAGTTATATATGAAATTTAGCTATGATATACCCAAGTAAGATGAGGAAATACTGTCGATTTTAAAGAAAAAATTAGAAGAGTAATAGAAATTAGGTTAAAGAAAAATGTTAAAATTTTAAGCATGTTGCATAAAAAAAAAAAGCTAAAAATAGCTAGATTCATTAAAGGAATCTAAGCTTTACATATGTAAATAATATAATGTATTTCTAGTATAATCTAATAAAAGCATGCCAATTTGCATTAAAAAAAAAAGTTTAAGAAATAAAAAAGTAAAGTTGGTTTATATCTTACTAAGATATTTGTATAACTAGTTATACAAAGAAATACAAACTGACATCAGGTAGTACAAATCTAAGATAAGTTCTTATAGCTATATAAATCTGTAAACTTAGAAAACAAGAAGCTTATTTGAAAAAATTTAAGTAAAAAGATAGCATAAAATTTTAATAATACTTTTGTAAAGACTAGTCTTAGGAAACAAATATTAATGTAAAAAAACCAAATAGGCAAAACCTTTGAATAAGAGATATTACTAATTAGATTACTAAAATCAGACTAAAAAAAAAGATATTAGACCAACTTAACATAACAATAAATTTATCATAGTTTTATTAGACTATCTAAATTGGAAGTTTGAAAACAAAAACAAAATATACTAAAGTAATTTAGATATACTATAAAGTAGTATTGAGGTTTGAATAAACTTTATAAAAGTATAGCAATTTAATGCTTAGTTCTTATTACAAGTATTAGTTTAGCTTTAGTAATATTGAGTTAGATATACAAAAAACTTTAGAAGATTTATCTTAAGAATAAAATAGTTCTAAAAGTAAGATAAAGATTTAAGTATAATCTAGTAAAGTTAATATAAATTGCAGATTAAAGTGTTTAAAATAAAATACTTAAGCAGAGATGTTAGATATGCAATTAATAAAAAACCTTTTTTAAATAGATAATATAAAAAAATTATATATATAACTAATTGGTTTTTTTTTAAGTTAAAGTTTCTGCCTTTAAAAATCAATGTTTTATTTAAGTATTTGAATATGAATGCCTTTAGAAGCTTCTATACATAGAAGGTTACAACTAGCCACATATGCACTTTTGGTACCTAATTTAAGTAATTTGGCTATACTAGATGCCATACTTGCAAGCTATCTATAGATCTTGTCTATTTAAACCCTCTGCATATATAGTCTAACTTGTAATCATAAGGACATCTTCTAGACTACATCCATCCAAAGTACCTGATGCTTTTAAGACTCTTAGGACTAATTTATTCTTAATAAAAAACTTACTAAAACCTTCTGTGTTTTATATATAGTTGATTTAGTTTTATGCAATATGCTATAGTTACCTAATACTTGTAGTTACAAGGGTTATCTGTTTAACCACTACATTATACTATTTTTACTCTTGTAAAATTTATTACAACTCTAGTACCTATTCTTGTAATATTTTTTTTATTATTTTTTACTAATCACTACTTAGAACTAACAGAACTTTTCTAATTTCTAATTCAGATAGCCTAGTATAGCATATATATATATTCTTTTTCTCTAATGATTCTGGCAGCCTGGTTGGTTATGTACTTCTTTATACATCTTGTCATCCAGTTTATCTATCTATTTTTTTAAGAATATATTATAGACTTTCATTAGTCTAATCATACTGTCAAAAGTTTATATTATCTCTTTACTT